GTGGATTTGGGTATCTGAGAGGTAATCCTGGAACTAGTCCCCATATCAAGGGACAACCATATTGTGGGGGGGTCTTTATATTCTGTTTCTTTGTTTGAGACAGACTCTCACTCTGTTGCCCTGGGTAGAGTGCCATGTGTGTCATAGCTCACAGAAACCTCAAGCTCCTGGGCTTGAGCAATCCTATTCCTTCAGCCTCTAGAGTAGCTGGGACTATAGGCATGGACCACTTTGCCCAGCTAGTTTTTTTTTCTTCCCCCATATTTAGTAGAGACAGGGTCTCACTCTTACTCAGGATGGGAGTAATATTTTTCATATGTGTATTTCTTCACTCTGGGAGGCCGAGGCAGGTGGACTGCCTGAGCTCACAGGTTCAAGACCAGCCTGAGCAAGAGCGAGACCCCCCCTCTCTAAAAAATAGCCAGGTGTTGTGGTGCATTCCTGTTATCCTAGTTACTTGGGAAGCTGAGACAAGAGAATCACTTAAGCCCAAGAGTTTGAGGCTACTGTGAGATCTGATCCCACGGCACTCTACTGAGGGTGACAAAGTGAGACTCTATTTCAAAAAAAAAAAAAAAGTGTATTTCTTAAATTATTGAATGTGAATAGCATTTCATAATAGTCATTGGTTATGAAATACCTATTCTTCTTCCTTCCCTCTTCCCATTTTTTGTCATTTTATTAATCTTTTCTCACAACATGCTAAAATTGTTTTTACCAATTTGTCTTTTAATTTTGCTTATGGTATACTTCTTATACAGTCTAATATTTTATATACTTAGATCTATTATTCCTTTTCTTTATGGATTCTGGCCTTAATACTATTTTACCATCCCAATATCATAAAAATATACTATATTTTCTTCTAGTACTTGTCATTTTATGTTAAACATTTTAATGTTTTATTCGAACAATTCATTAACTCCCTACTGATCTCCAATCCTGTGTCATTTCTGAATTCCCTGCTCGGCTTGTGAAATCTCTTTAAAAGATGACTTACCAGGCTGGGCACAGCGGCTCATGCCTGTAATCCTAGCACTCTGGGAGGCAAGGTGGGTATATTACCTGAGCTCACAGGTTTAAGACCAGCCTGAGCAAGAGCAAGACCTCATCTCTAAAAATAGATGGGCGTTGTGCCTGTAGTCCCAGCTACTTGGGAGGCTGAGGCAAGAGCACTGCTTGAACCCAAGAGGTTGAGATTGCCATGAGCTATGATGCCAGGGCTCTCTTCTGAGGGCAACAAAGTAAAACTCTGTCTCAAAAAAAAAAGGATGACTTACCAACTGAGCGCAGTGGCTCACGCCTGTAATCCTAGCACTTTGGGAGGCCAGTGTAGGTAGATTGCTTGAGCTTAGGAGTTTGAGACCAGCCTGAGCAAGAGCAAGGCCCCCATTTCTAAAAATAGCCAGGCAATGTGGCAGGTGCCTGTAGTCCCAGCTAAATGGGAGGCCGAGGGAAGTGAACTACTTGAGCTCAAGTGTTTTGAGGTTGCTGTAAGCTATGACACCACAGTATTCCCACCAAGGGCAGCATTTCCACTCTGTCTGGAAAAAAAAAAAAGATGACTTACCTAATTGCTGAGCCCATTTTATGGCAGTCCCGGTGTCTCCTGCATTGCCTTCAGCTAAGCATACAACTTCTTGCCCAATCTTCCACCCAATTAATGGATAAAAGCCTTAGAAAGCAAATAAAGAATAAGTCATATGACAAATACATACTTCATTACAGACTTCCACAATGGAATAATTTTATTATTTAGAAATACTGCAAAGTGCCTCTAAGTCAGACTGCCCAAGTTCAAATCCCAGCCCTCTAGCACTCACTAGTTGTGGTCTTGTAAGTTTCTAACCTCTTAGCCTCAGTTTCCTCAACTGTAAAATGGTCTGTCTCATAGAGTAGCTATTGTAAGAATGAATATACTGAGGCTGGGCACAGTGGCTCATGTCAGCATGTTGGGAGGACGAGAAGATTTTTTTTGAGACAGAGCCTCAAGCTATCCCCCTAGGTAGAGTGCCGTGGCTTCAAAGCTCACAGCAACCTCCAACTCCTGGGCTCAAGCGAGTCTCCTGCCTTAGCCTCCCAAGTAACTGGGACCACAGGTGCCCGCCACAACGCCTGGCTATTTTTTGGTTGCAGCCGTCATTGTTGTTTTGGCGGGTCCGGGCTGGATTTGAACCCGCCATCTTAGGTGTATGTGGCTGGCACCTTAGCCACTTGAGCCACAGGCGCTGAGCCAAGATTGTATTCCTTAAAGCCAAGAGTTTGAAATCATCCTGGGCAACATGGCGAGATGTGATTGCTGCAAAAAAAATTTTATTTTACTATTATTATTATTATTTTTTGAGACAGAGTCTCACTATGTCATTCTGGGTAGAATGCCATGGCGTCACAGCTCACAGCAACCTCAAACTCTCGGGCTTAAGTGATTCTCTTGCCTTAGCCTCCCAAGTTGCTGGTACAGGTGCCCGCCACAATGCCCGGCTATTTTTTTGTTGCAGTTGTTGTTTAGCTGGCCCAGGCTGGGTACAAACCCACCACCCTCAGTGCATGTGGCTGGCACTGAAACCAGTGTGCTACAGCCAAGCCCCCCTAAAATTTTATTAATTAATCATCCAAGTGTGCTGGTGCATGCCTGTAGTCCTATTTACTTGGAAGGCTGACGCAGGAAGATAGCTGGAGTCCAAGAGTTTGAGGCCACAGTGAACTAAGATTGGGCTACTGCATTCTAGCCTGGGTGAGAGAGCAAGACTTTGTCTCAAAAAACAAAACAATAGAAAATTTGAGTTAATAAGTTAATAAATAAAAAGAACTTCACAGTGTCAGGTATGGAATGTGAACACCAAATATTAGTTTTTATTAGCTATAAGCATGCCTATGTCTCTAGAAACACAGCCACAAACATTCTGAGAAATAAAAGGTTACTGTGAGGTTGGGGCACTAGAGAAGTATGTTAGTTACTGTGTTTACTTGGAGTTTCTAAACAAGGTTCTTAAATAGAAACAATCTATAATACAATAACATTTTCTAGCTTCCATTTCCCCAGTTAGGGAAAAAGGAAGAGCTTGAAGGAGGATGGAAAGCAGGAAAATATTTTTAAAATCACCTCTTAGGAACCATGTTAGGGCAACAGAGCCCCAACCATGAGCCCCTAGCTCTGATAGTTCTAGAAGGATATAGTTCTACAATCTCTTGGTTTGTATCTCCCAGGATTTCCTCCATCAGGAAGGCAATAGAGGAAATGGAGGTTTTTAACCCTAAACATGCACGGATTACCACTCTAAAAAATTCACGAAAGAATTTTCTTTTTTTTTTTTTAGAGATGAGAGTCTTACCTCGTCTCTTGCCTTATTCTCTTGCCTCAGCCTCCTGAGTAGCTGGGACCACAGGTGCCCACCACAATACCCAGCTATTTTTTTGCTGCAGTTTAGCCAGGGCTGGGTTCAAACCTGCCACTCAGTATATGAGGCCAGCACCTGACCCACTAACCCATGGGTGCTGCCCTAGCAAAAGAATTTTCTGACCCACAAAAAAACATTTAGAGCCCTAAAAAGAAGTCTTAAACAAGAATAACACGTATTATAGATAAATATTTGGAAAGCTGACCAAACATCCTAACCCTACAAACTAAACTTTTCTACAATAGCTTTCTTTTTTATACTTTTAATTTAAAGGTTAAAAAAAGAAATGGAAATTAACTATCTTTAAGAATAATGAGACATGATAGAAAATATCAACATAAAATGAAAAAATGGTATATCACAAAATTTAAATATGAATAGTAATGATATTAATAAATAAGATCAATTCTAACTGTTTACCTCCAACAGTCTTTTGAAGATTATTTCCAGTATTAATGTCCAAAAAAGTTCCAGTTCCCATAGTTAATTTCACATCACCTGTCTGGAAGCAGCACTCTCCAAACATGGCTGATTGCTGGTCAGCAACCTACAAAAAATGTTCAGATGTTGGACCCATTGCCCTTAGTGGTGGTTCATATCATTATATCCCATTGCCCCATTCATTGTATTCTCATGATTAAACATTTCCTTTTTTTTCTTCCTGTTTCTTTTTCTTTTTCTTTTTTTTTTTTTTGAGACAGAGTCTCACTTTGTTACCCTCAGTAGAGTGCCGTAGCATCATAGCTCACAGCAACCTCAGATGCTTAGGCTCAATTCTCTTGTCTCAGCCTTCCAAGTAGCTGAGACTACAGGAACCCACCACAACACCTGGCTATTTTTAGAGATGGGGTCTCACTTTGGAGATGGGGGTCTTGCTCTTGCTTAGGCTGGTCTCAAACCCACGAACTCAGTCAATACACCCACCTTGGCCTCCCAGAGGGGTAGGATTACAGGTGTGAGCCACCACGCCCAACCTTTCTTCCTGTTTCTTAAGTAAATAAAATAAAATCTCAGAGAACAGAGAGCAACAACTATAAGATAGTAATTTCTCTAGGACTAAGGCTGTACAGATAATTAACATGCCTGAGGAATTTTTAATGGACTTTTAAGTATCTTATGAATAATCTTAGAAATAAAGATAAGAATAAAACTGTACAGAAGATTTTTCATTTTCAACTTAACAGAGGTTTCATTCATTAGTCAAAATAACTCACCCTCACACAAATTTCTCTCGTATTAAATGATAGTTACATGTTTCAATAGATTAGATGTAAATTAAAACCATCCACATCCCAACCATACATTTTTTTTTTTTGAGACAGGGCCTCAAGCTATCCCCCTGGGTAGAGTGCTGTAGCATCATAGCTCACAGCAACCTCCAACTCCCGGGTTCAAGCGAGTCTCCTGCCTCAGCCTCCCAAGTAGCTGAGGCACTAGAGAAGTATGTTACTGTGTTTACTTGGAGTTTCTAAACAAGGTTCTTAAATAGAAACAATCTATAATACAATAACATTTTCTAGCTTCCATTTCCCCAGTTAGGGAAAAAGGAAGAGCTTGAAGGAAGATGGAAAGCAGGAAAATATTTTTAAAATCACCTCTTAGGAACCATGTTAGGGCAACAGAGCCCAAACCATGAGCCCCTAGCTCTGATAGTTCTATCACAGAACTATCACCGTTCCGCCACAACACTGGCTATTTTTTGTTGCAGCTGCCATTGTTGTTTTGGCGGGCCTGGGTTGGATTTGAACCCGCCACCTTAGGTGTATGTGGCTGGCACCTTAGCCACTTGAGCCACAGGTGCCATACATTTTTGTTAAAAGATTATAAATTTTGCTAACACAGTCATATGTAGATATACATATGGCAATATTTTAAGGGCCAAAACATATTGAAGGAACCCTTTCTTATTCATCTAATATCTTCTAGCCACACCTTAATCTAACCCTGAACTTATCCCTACATTGAGTATAATTGATCCTCTCCAATGACAATGAATGTGTAACCTGGGAAATTAAATTTCCTTTCACTTGCCAGCTTCCCCGCAACTATAGAGACCATCTATCTAGGAATAGGTGGTCCATAACTCTGCTTAAGTTGTTGCACGAAATCAAAAACAATATGAAAGGGCCCTTAAAAATCAAAACAGCAAAGTTTTCATTCTTCCATAAGTTTCTTTACTGGTAGACGCTGGCTAAGGATTTTATTAAATGCACATACAACTTTCTCCTTTAGTTTAAATTACCCTATTGCCCAGGCACAGGGGCTCAAACACCTGTAATCCTAGCACTCTGGGAGGCCGACTTGGTGGATGCTTGGCCTCAGGAGTTGGAGACCTGCCTGAGCAAAAGCAGGACTCTGTCTCTACTTAAAATAGAAAAACTAGCTAGGCATTTGGTGGGTGCCTGTAGTCCCAGCTTCTTGGGAGGCTAAGGTAAGAAGATTACCTGAGCCCAAGAATTTGAGGTTGCTATGAGCTATGATGCCACAGCACTCTACCCAGGGTGACAGAGGGAGACTCTGTCTCAAAAAAATAATAATAATTTAAAACAATTAAAAAAAATAAATTACTCTATTGCTGCTTATGGTTACACATATCAAATATAAACTAAACACTGGCCCCCATCACTGTGCACTGCTTCAGAGTGTCAAATATAAACTAAACACTATTCAGAATACATCTTTAAAAGTCTGTTTTCTGAAAAACAATATACCAGTAAGTCAGAAAAAATTATGAAGCGTTTCTGTTTCCAAAAACACATAGGATACACAGTACTTCTGGTAATATCCAGCTCCCTTTAATTTAAAAAGAAAAAAAAAAGATACTTTATTTTGCCAAGTACCTTTTGTTTTTCCTAATGCTAGTTCCAATTATTCATATATATTCATTCAGTTTAGAATATACTACATAAAGAGAAACCTTCAAGGTTTCTACTTACCAAGGCAACTATTGGTATAGGCACACCAAATATCTCTTCATCCACTAATCCAAAATTGTGGCTTCAAATAAAATTGATTAAAAAGTTAGTGACAGCTTTAATTCAGCAAATTATCTTTAACTTATGAACAGTTATATGCTAAACATAATAGGTCCATCAATCATATAATAAAATGCTTTTCCCCACCAAAATAAAATGAATTCAAAGATTTGGCTGTTTCTACATCTAATGTTATTACCTTGTGTCCTTCACAGGGGGCAGGATGGAGAGTGGAACGGAGATTATGGAGGTAATAAGCCCACTCCAACACATCTGAGCACAGACACACAGCATCAGAATGCAAATATTTACATATTTCAAATATAAAAGCATTTTAAGACAGCGTGGTATATGTGATAAATATACAAAAGTTGCATCTGTCAGCTAAAAATAAATTTAAGGCTGGAGGTTGCTGTGAGCTGTAATGCCACGGCACTCTGCCCAGGGGGACAGCTTGAGGCTCTGTCTCCAAAAAAAAAAAAAATAAATAAATAAATAAATAAATTTAAGAAAATTTAAACCCCAAAGTTGGTGACTCAAAAAGAAGAAAAAAATCCTTACCAGATATGGGTCAAAAAGTCCAGTTGTACTAGCATTTGAAAAATCTGTGGCATATGCAGAACCTAAATTTACATTGGAAAAATACATTTATTATCAGATCGTATAAATTGTGGAATAAAAAATAAAATCCTAAACCCTGAATGGATGCTCCCCCTCAGCCCAGAGGACCCCAGAGAAACCTTAAAACCCAAGTTCCAGCCATGACAGAAAGGGAGGGAGGTCAGGCCTCGTTCACTCCCTCCCTCGCAAATGGCCATCTGGTTTTTTATTTTTCCTAAGGGCTAAACAGACCAGCAGTCTTTCCTGATAAGAGGTAACCAACCATGAAGTGGCTTAACCAGTCTACTGAGCATGTGCAGAGGTTTTGGGATCCTTGTTACCCCTTGACACCGTGGGGCTGCCAGAATCTGGAAAGTGCAGCCCTTTAAAGAAGGAGTTATAAAGCGTGACCATATATGCGCATGGTCCCCCTTTAATAAATATTCATGACTCCTTCTGCTTGTTAAATATGCATATTTGGCCATCCTGCTCTTCATAAACTCCTTTTCCCATTCCCTTCCTCCCACCCTTGAAGTACTTGTTCCTGGGTTCTTGGCTTATGGCCAGCGGCTCTGCTTTCCAGACTGCAAAAATGGCCACTGACAGGCTACAGCCCTCTATAAGAAATAAAGCTCTCCTTTCAAACTGTAAATCAACACCTCTTCCAAGTTCATCAATCATGGCGATCAATGGGGTGACAAGTGTCACAGGCAGTTCACCCTCACATCCTATCCCGAGTTTAAAGACCTTTGTCTGCATTCAAATTCATTCCAAAATGAGTATTTCCAATGTGAAGTTTCCAAAAGCAACTTCTTACCTAATCGTTATGAACTCTCATTGTTCATAAAGCACTTTCACAAAAGCACTTTCATACACATTGCCACTTCATGATCCCCATTTAAAAATGAAGAAAGAGGTTCAGAGATGCTAAGTGATCACCCATAGTTATACCCAGCTGCCACAGGGCAGATTTGGCATAGAACTCATTGCTCTTGAAGTTAACACTGTTCTCCTGCCTTATGTATTGCAGGTTTTATCACTAATTTTTTTTTTCATTTCATTGTCTAACTTTATCACCCTTGGTAGAGTGCCCTAGTGTCATAGCTCATAGCAACCACAAACTCTTGGGCTCAAGGCATCCTCTTGCCTCAGCCTCCTGAGTAGCTGGGACTACAGACTACATAACGCTTGGCTAATCTTTAGAAACGGGTCTCACTCTGGCTCAGGATGGTCTCAAACTCCTGAGTTCAAGCAATCCACCTGCCTCGGCCTCCCATCATGCTAGGATTAAAGGTGTGGGCCACTGCATCCAGCCCTATCATAATTTTAAAATTTCACTCCTCTTACAATAAGCAAACCTGGAGCAACAAGTCTAGTTTTATTATGACAATGTAATTATTAGGATATCAAGAAGCAATATGTCTGAGATATAGGAAGAAAAAATAGTAACTTTGCAAATCGTTTCTCTTGGTCAAATGTCAGTTAGTTAGGACAGATTTGTCAGAAGGTGTTTACCTTTTGTGAGCTTATGTAATAACCAGGTATCAATAGTCCCAAAGCAACAATTTTCTTCCTCAACGGCCTTTTGCACCTTGAAAATACAACAGTACAAACTCAATTCAAAAAGACTAAATTATTAAGTGCAAATCTACTGATATGATACAATCCCTTTTTTATAAAAATTAATAGATACATAGAAAAACAATTTCCAGAATATACTTCAAATAGTTCTAAGTGATTATTAAGAGTATGAGATGTAGCAAGGGGAGAGGGAAAAGATTTTCACTTTCTATACAGTATTTTAGTTTTATACTAAGTCTGTCTTAGTTACTTTTGTGCTTAAAAGTTTTTTTTTAGGTTTGGCGCCTGTGGCTCAAGTGGCTAAGGTGCCAGCCACATACACCTAAGGGTTGCCAGCCACATACACCAAGTGGCTAAGGTGCCAGCCACATACAGCCCGGGCCCGCCAAATAACAATGACGGCTGCAACCAAAAAATAGCTGGGCATTATGGCGGGTGCCTGTGGTCCCAGCTACTTGGGAGGCTGAGGCAGGAGACTCGCTTGAGCCTAGGAGTTGGAGGCTGCTGTGAGCTGTGATACCACAGCACTCTACCAGGGGTGACATAGTGAGACTCTGTCTAAAAAAAAAAAGATAAAAAACAAAAAAAACTTTTAGCAAACTAGGAAAGAAAGAGACCTTCCTTAATTTGATAAGATATTTCCAAAAAAACCTACTGCAAATTCACACTAAAAAGTGAAACGCTGAAAGCTTTTGTTCCAAGATCAGGAACAAGAAAAGAATGTATAATCATCCTTTCTAGTCGACATACTATAAAGGTCTTTGTCAATGAAAAGAAAAAGAATTAAAAGCACGAGTAGAAGTAAAAATTTAATTACCTACAAAAGATATAACTGTATGCACAGAAACATGCCCTCCCCAGAAAAGCTATCAAATATTACCAGAATAACTAAGTGAATTCAGCAATATTACTGGATCAAAGGTCAAGTCATAAAAATTAATTCATATTTCTAAATACCAGCCAAAAAAGAAATGGAAAAGAAATAATTTAAAAAACGAGTTGAGATAGCTATAAAAACATCAGTTACCTAACAATAACTCCAATGAAAGATCTACAAAAACCTTACACGGAAAATTATGGGACACGTTAATAGAAATCCTTTAACAGAAAATTAGACATTATACCCATGAATCCTAAGACCTATTATTATAAAGATATCAATTCTACCAAAATTAATCTACAACTCAGATGCCATTGCAGCACTGGGAGTGAGGGGAGTGTTTGTTGTGAATATAAATTGACAAGTTGATTCTAAAATTTCCCTGGAGATAAAAAGGATCAAGAAGAGTCAAGACAAACCTGAAATGAAACCTGATGCTTACTGGGCAGCGCCTGTGGCTCAAAGAAGTAGGGCGCCAGCCCCATATGCCAGAGATGGCAGGTTCAAACCCAGCCCCAGCCAAAAACTGGGGAAAAAAAAAAAACCTGACACTTACCTCATACTAAATACAAAAATCAATTCCAAGGCCAGATGTGTTGGTTCTCACCTTAATCTTAACACTTTGGGAGGCCAAGGTGGGAGGATGACTTAGATTCAGGAGTTCCAGACCAGCCTTAGCAAGTATGAGACCCCCGTCTCTACTAAAAATAGAAAAAAATCAGCTGGGTGTGGTGGCACCTGTCTATAGTCGCAGCTATTCAGGAGGCTGAGACAAAAGGATCATCTGAGCCCTTAAGTTTGAGGTTGCAGTGAATTGTAATAATGCCACTTATGATATTACCACTTCACTCTACCCAGGGTGACAGATTGAGATGCTGTATCAAAAAAAAAAAAAAAAAGCCAGGCGCAGTGGCTCACGCCTGTAATCTCAGCACTGTGGGAGGCTAAGGCAAGAAGATTGCTTGAGCTCAAGAGTTCAAGGCTTGTCTGAGCAAGAGTGAGACCCCGACTCATGAAAAAAATGAAAAATCCAGCCAGGTGTGGCATTGAGTGCCTGTAATCCCAGTGGCTTCAGACGCTGAGGCAGCAGGATGCCCACAGCCTGAGTCTGAGGTTGCAATGAGTTACATGATGCTATTGCACTCTGCTCAGAGCATAGGGTAGAACTCTGTCTTGACAAAAAAAAAACAAAAAAAAAAACAGGAAAAAATCAATTCTACATAAGAGTACATAGACTTATAGAAGGCAAAACATCAAATATATAACACTATCTTTATAGGCTCAGAATATGAAGGACTCTTCAAAGAGACACAAAAAAGTTCAAAGATATTTAGGGAAGGCAGGGCACAGTAGCTCACACCTGTAATACTAGCACTCTGCGAGGCCAGGGTGGGGTGGGTGGATAGTTTGAGCTCATGGGTTCAAGACCAGCCTGAGCAAGAAATTGAGACCCCCCGTCTCTACTAAAAATAGAAAAATTGAGGCAAGAGGATCATTTGAGCCCTCTGGAAGTTGCTATGAGCTATGATGCCATGGCACTCTATCTAGGGTGACAGTTTGAGATTTTGCCTAAAACAAACAAACAAAAAAAATACTTAGGGGTGGTTCAGCGCCCACAGCTCAGTGGTTAGGGCACCGGCCACATACACCAGGGCTGGCAGGTTCAAATCGGGCCCAGGCCTGCTAAACAACAATGACAACTACAACAACAACAAAAATAGCCAGGTATTGTGGCAGGCTCCTGTCGTCCCAGCTACTTGGGAGGCTGAAATAAGAGAACTGCTTAAACTCAAGAGTTTGAGGTTGCTGTGAGCTGTGACGCCTTGGCACTCTACTAAGGGTGACATAGTGAGACTATGTCTCAAAAACAAAAAAATATTTAGGGTAAATTAAAGTATGGTATTGAGAAATAAACACATAAATTGTAAGCGTAGAAAGAAAAAGTGACAGGAAGTCTCATAGTGTTCTTGATCCAGGTATTGTTATGCAGAGGTTTGTTCCACAACATCTCACTGAGGGGTATATTTTTATTTTGGTCACCTTTCTAGATTTGTTGATGCACTAAAATTTTTTTTAAAAAAAACCAATTATGCTTTGTCTTCCATTCCAATATACAGTGGACACTTAATTTTCCCTCAAATAATCCATTCCTTATCTTTATACCTTAAATTTTCTTATCTTCCTATCTTCATTCCTTAAATTTTTTTCTTCCCCACGGTCTTTACCTCATTTCCATACACACCATCTTTACTCACCTCCGTCAGGTTCTGTAAAATCCAGACTAATCGCAAAGAAGAGTGCTGAGTTGTGAAAGTGAACAAACTGGCTGCAAAAAGTCGTTTACTTCTCGTGAAAAAGTGAAGCATTCGGCAGGAACTATGCAAGAGCTAGTTTTAAAAAAGGATATTGTGAAAGAAGTATTTATTGACATTTGATGTTTCCACGTCAATTCTATTCAACATGCAAACAAAAATTCAATAACAAACAGATCATTTAACTACTTATAAAAGTGTTCTCAGGACCTGAGGAAATCAAATAGAGCAATATATTATCCTAGGTGGACAATGTGAATTCTAACATATGAAATATTAACACATTTAACTGAATTCCTTTAGCAAATAAAAGTTTTTTAAAACAGCTATTTCTAGCTCTCTGCCTATTCTCTATGAAAGTGAAGGAAGAGAGTCAGGGAGGGTCTATTTGCAGACTCTTATTTTACTATGATATGTACACATAAATTTCATTTTAGGCTTCTTAGATAAATCTATACAATTCAGTAACAGGGTAGCATTAATTCACTGCTAGTCACATAGTAACATCATCTACATAAAGCTCTCAGCTAATATTTGATTTGGGAAGCTTATATTCCCAATATTTCCACATTATTTACAATATTATATCTTAGCTTCAAAATGCCTTTATGAACCAAAATCTGGAGAAAACTCAATCCCAGCCAGAGGCCCGAATGAGCTCTTATTCTTTCCTACCTTTGGAAATCTTTTGATTTCCAGAAATCAAATTAGCACTAACTCAGCAGGAAACTTCCCAATATTGTAACCACTTATAATTTTATTTAATACTATCCATACTTGGCTTGGAGCCTGTAGCTCAAGTGGCTAAGGCACCAGCCACATACACCGAAGGTGGCGGGTTCGAATCCAGCCCGGGCCCGCCAAACAACAATGATGGCTGCAACCAAAAAATAGCTGGGCGTTGCGGCGGCCGTCTGTGGTCCCAGTTACTTGAGGGGCAGAGACAGGAGACTCGCTTAAGCCCAGGAGTTGGAGGTTGCTGTGAGCTGTGATGCCACAGCACTCTACCCAGGGGGATAGCTTGAGGCTCTGTCTCAAAAAAAAAAAGTATGTCTCAGAATCTTTGAAATTTAATAACTGCTATGAAGGAAATAAAGTGCAATGTAAGAGATGCTGGGGGTTCATTTGAATAAAACGGCAGGGGAGGGTTCCCAGAAGTGACACACAAGCTGGACCCTAAAGGATAAAAGTCCTTTTCCCGTAAAAGGAACCAAAACTTTCATCACATGTATGCTCAATAGTAAGTAAATAAAGTGCTGTAAACGTTCAGGTTTGTGCTCGGGGTCACATTTCTGCATCAAGATTTGAGATGTGGGGTTTATACCACCAAGTAAATGTTTTCATAGTCATTATTTATTTTCAAAGGATTAAAACTTTTAAATGCTTCAATGACTAACATAAATGTATGATAAACTATTAAAAACTAAAATTATACATTAAGGTAAACAATTATACACTATAAATTCTATAATCTAAGATTATACAGACTGGGTGCAATGGCTTACACTTATTATTCCTAGCACTAGAAGAGGTTGAAATAGGAGGATTGCTTGAGCCCAGGAATTTGAGACCACCCTGAGCAATATACTGAGACCTCTTCTCTACAAAAAGGGAAAAACTAGCTGGGTTTGGTGGTATGCACCTGTAGCCCCTGCTATTTGGGAGCCTAAGGCCAGAGGATGACTTGGGCCCAGGAGTTTGAGGCTGCAGTGAGATACGATGACGTCACTGCACTCTAACTCAGGCAACAGAGCAAGACCTTGTCTCAAAAAAACAAATGGCTCGGCGCGTGTGGCCCAAGTGGCTAAGGTGCCAGCCATATATACCTAAGGTGGTGGGTTCGAATCCAGCCCGGGCCTGCCAAACAACAATGACAGCTGCAATCAAAAAACATAGCCGGGCGTTGTGGTGGGTGCCTGTGGTCCCAGCTACTTGGGAGGCTGAGGCAAGAGACTCGCTTGAGCCCAGGAGTTGGAGGTTGCTGTGAGCTGTGATGCCAGAGCACTCTACCCAGGGCAATAGCTTGAGGCTCTGTCTCAAAAAAAAAAAAAGTATCCTATTCAAAAAGTTCACAATATTTCCTTATAACCACTTTAACTCCCTTAATTACCATGTTCTTTTTTTTTTTTTTTAATTAATTGCCATGTTCTTGGAGCCTGTGGCTCAGGCTCAAGGAGTAGGGCACTGGTCCCATATACCAGGGGTGGTGGGTTCAAGCCCAGCCCTGGCCAAAACCGCAAAAAGAAAAAAGAAATTACCGTGTTCTTCCCATAACAATACCTCTCAGTATCTAGCCTCGTAAGTTATTACAGCAAGGTCCATTTTTATATATTAAACTAATACTAAGAAAAATCAATTCAGGTGAGATTATGGCAAACTTGTTTCACTCATGCCTTGTTATAGTCTATAATATATTCATGTTTGCTTTCATATAAAATATATGTTTTTCAAGCCTTATGTAAAACTGATGCTCCAGACATGCCCCCGGGCACCATCTAGTGCTAGTACACTAGCACAGAAGGCATTTCAGAGCAAAGCTTTATAAGTATTAAAATGTATTAATATGGAATATTAATTATGACATCAAACATTATAGGTCTATTCACAATTGAGGAACTGGCAAATTGTCTTATCCTTTGACTCAGTAATTTCTTACTCAGAGTGAGGGAGATTTGAAAGACACAAACGAATAGCAGCTGATGCTGTTGTCACTGTCATCACCATTATCACTACCAATTACGGATGGCCTACTATGTGCCAGGCATAATGCTAAGTCTGATAGTTACCTACCTCAATATTCATTCTCTACTTTTGTAACAAAAGATGATAAATTTGAACATTTCATTCCATATTCTTTCCATTTCTCATAGGCAGAAACATGAATTCTCTGGTCCACCCCCAAACTTCCTTGGGACTTTCTGAGGTACATGTGGTAGCTCACACCTGCAATCCTAATACTCTGAGAGTCCCAGGCAGGTGGATCACCTGAGCTCAGGAGTTGGAGAGCAGCCTGAGCAAGAGCGAGACCCCATCTTTAAAAATAGCCGGGTATTGTGGTAGGTGCCTGTAGTCCTAGCTACTCGGGAGGCTGAGGCGAGAGGATCACTTCAATCCAGGAGTTTGATGTTGCTGTGAGCTAGGACACCATGGCACTCTACCAGGGCAACAGAGTAACACTGTCTCAAAAAAAGAAAAATGTATGTAAATCTGCCACATAAGCTTTTGGATAAATAATAAGTTTAATTCATTATTAATTTTCACTGATGTGGGGGAGTGTTTACATGTGTATTCTCTTCTTAATGTCCTAAAACAAAATAATACAATTAAGTCTACAGTTAAGGGACATTTATAGGAAAAAACAGTAATATCCAAACCACAGATGATAAGAAAAAGATTACCTTCAATATAAGAGAACTATTCCAAGATTTTACAAGTTCAACAGCTCTTAAGTCTTGCCAACTAATAAAGTTGTGAAAATGATTTCCCGTTTTCCTAAGAAAGATTGAAACAGTATTTTGAGACTCAACATAAACCAGACAATATTAAAAATCTGAAATTAGAAATGAAACTACAATATCAATGCATGATTTTAAAAAGCAATGCTTTTCCACTTCATTGTACTTATCTTCGTACAATCAGATACAACCTCTGAGCTACAAAAGAAATGAAATACAGCCTGAGCCTGTTTCCACACCTCACAACTTTAGGACTGGCTTACCCACTGACCTAAAATGCTTACTAAAATTTCTCCAACAAACAGAAATTCAACAAACCCCGAGTCAATGCTACAATAAAAGTGCAGAACTAAAAACTACAGGAAAAATTATTTTTCCTTTGAGACCCATGCAAATCAACCACAGCATGTAATAATTGCCAATATTCAACTCAGATTTGCTTTTTAACCATGTTCTATTCCCGAGACTGTCATTCCCCACTCTACGTAAGTGCCTACATCTATGATCATATTCTCACCTTTACCCCAATCTGTCAGTCAGCACATCTTGCTATTACTACAGTTCTCTCAATCTTACTCTTTAAATGCCTCCCCTTCAAACTACTACAATCTTTAATCCCTTGCACATTCCCTTTTCTTCCTACCAACCCTTCCTAGGCACACTTAATTTCCTGGATCCCATGTCCTATATTGCTTTAACTACTTGCTGTTACACTCTCTAACCCTTGATTTCTACTTTTTAAAAAGATGGTGGTAGCAGGCGCAGTGGCTCTGGCTTGTATCCTAGCCCTCTCTGAGGCTGAGGCAGGTAGATCGCTTGATCTCAGGAGTTCGAGACCAGCCTGAGCAAGAGTAAGACCCTGTCTCTACTAAAGACAGAAACAACTAGCTGGGTATTGTGGTGGGTGCTTCTAGTGCCAGCTACTAGGGAGGCTGAGGCAAGAGGACTGCTCAAGAATTTGAGGTTGCTGTGAGCTGTGACGCCACAGTACTCTACCCAGGGCAATTGAGTGAGACTATGTCTCAAAAAAAAAAATAGTGGCAAAGTAGGCACATGGTAGTTTATGCTTACGATCCCAGTATTTTGAAGTACAACTTAAACCTTGGAAACATAGCAAGCCTCTATCTCTATTTAAAAAACAAAATTAGTTAGGTGTGGTGGCGTGCATCTATATTCCCTATATTCAGAAGGCTGAGGCACTGGGGCCCAGGAGTAGGCGGCTGCAGTGAGCTAGGATAACACCACTGCACTCCAGCCTGGGAGATAGCATGAGACCCTGTCTCAAAAACAAAAATAAAACTTCTGAAAAAGTATATGTAACATGAAGCTTGCCATTATTAGTGTACAATTGAGTAACATTAATTACATTCACAATATTATGTAACCATCACCACTGTTTTTAAAATTCTCTTATCACTCTAAACAGAAGCTCTGTAACATTTAAGAAATAACTTTCCATTCCCTCTTCACCCCATCCCTGGTGACCTCTTATCTACTTTCTGTCTCTATGAATGTGCCTGTTCTAGTTGCATCATATAGAAGGGCAATCATACTACATCTGCCTTTTTACATTTGGCTTATATTGTGGGAAAGAAATCCTCACGACCTGGACAAGAGTACGGCCATTTTGGGAAACAGCTGGTGAGAAAAAGCAGGACGGAAACCAACTGCTTGATCACAGTGAACCTCCTCCCCTTACTCCTGGATATAGAATTCTTTTAATCACACTGAACCTCCCCCCCTCCCTCCTGATAAAGAATTCTTTTTATCACACTGAACCTCCCCCCCTCCCTCCTGATAAAGAATTCTTTTTATCACACTGAACCTCCTTCCCTCCCTCCTGATATAGAATTCTTTTTTTTTTTTGAGACAGAGTCTCACTTTGTCACCCTGGGTACAGTGCTATGCCATCATAGCACACAGCAACCTCAGACTCCTGAGCGCGAGCGATTCTCTTATCTCAGCCTCCCAAGTAACTGGAACTACAGGGGCCCACCACAACTCCTGAGTATTTTTAGAGACAGGGGTCTCATTCTGGCTCAGGCTGGTCTCGAACTCCTGAGCTCAGGCAATCCACCTGCCTCAGCCTCCCAGAGTGCTGGGATTACAGGTGTGAGTCACCATGTCTGGCCCGATATATAATTCTTTGGAGTCATTTTAACAATAGTACATATTTACACATTTCATTTAAATCTAATTTTGAATCACTGGCTTCAGCAAATATTCATAAAGCAATTTGTGCCAAGAGCTGGAGACACAGCTACAGAGCTACATGGCACCTTTGTCCTTATAAATACACTTTCTGCCAGGGAATTCAAACAAATTATCAATTACTCAATTGCTTGCTTACAATAGGAATACGTCCTACAGAGGAGAAATACAGGTTGTCATGAGTGTACTTAACAGGGCTTTTTGAGAAGTGACAATGGAACTGAGCTCTAAAGGATGAGCAGGAATAGGAGGGTAAACATCCCTGACAAAATGTGTTGCTGAACATCCTATGGTGGGATGAGTTATGATGGGCTGGGGAACTGAAGGCTGCATGGCTGAAAAGCAAGAGGAAAGCTGTGTCATTAATTCATGCCACAGTGCAAGACAATCTCATCCCAAAAACACTGAATTCAAGTAGTGGCACAGACTGAATGAGAAGCTTAAATGACAATATTGTAAATTAATTGTCTTTAATCCTTCTAACACTTTATACCATTCTGTGGCTCTTGATATATTTTGTTAAGTAACTGGAAAGAATCATTTCTTTTTTTTTGAGACAGTCTCACTCTGTACCCTGGGTAGACTGCCCTGGTGTCACTGTACCTGACAGGAACCTCAAACTCTTAGGCTTAAGCGATCTTCTTGCCTCAGCCTCCTGAGTAGCTGGGACTACAGGTGCTTGCCACAGTGCACGGCTAATCTTTCAGTTTTTTTAGTAGAGGTGGGCCTGGCTCTTGCTCAGACTGTTCTGGAACTCTGGAGTGCATACAATCCACCTGTCTTGGTGTCCCAGAGTGCTAAGATTACAGGTGTGAGCCACTAGGCTTGGCTAAGAACCATTAACATAAGTATCAAATACCACAATAAAAGAATATTTGGTTCCATGGGAACACAGAGTAATTTATAAACTTGTATAATTAGACTGTAAATTCCTTGAGGGTTAGTATTCTTACTCATCTTTATATTCAGCTCAGCAACCAGAACAGGACATTACTTGCTATGAGCTTGCAAACAGTTACTAAGTGAACCGGGTTCGTATGACTCATAGTTTACATTGCTAACTGGCACACACCCCGATCTGAGGTTAGGTGGCAGGAGTCTCCCCAAGAGACACAGTAACTGAAGAAACAAAACAGCTCATGATTTTTTAGAACAACAGGAATATAAAAGAACCAAAGTGGAAGAGAAACCATTTAGAGTTATTTTAGAAAGCAGGCTAAACACACTGCTAATTAAATATATTGGAAAAAATTAATCTAAGACTATGAAGAAAACTTAAAGGGCTGAGGAAAGTTAATAATAACTGAGTGGCTTGGTCCTGGTTTGTTGGACCAGGGGTACACGAGACAAAGAGACAAGGAGAAAATAAAAAAGAAGGTTCTAAGTTTTAGGTTTCCTGACAGCAACTGAAAGGAAAATGATGCAGCCAGGTGCGGGGGCCCATGCTTGTAATCCCAGCACTCTGGGAGGCCAAGGCAGGAGGATTGTTCGAGCTCAGAAATTCAGAGACCAGCCTCAGCAAAAGCGATACCCTGTCTCTTCTAAGAATAGAAAAACTAACTGGGTACTGTGGTGGG